CTGGTTCAGCTTGTGGCTGACCCTAGGTTTTGTTTAGGGCTGCCGGTCAAGGAGATGTGTCTCCCCCTCCTAGTTATATATGATTATAAATATGTTCTTTTCTTTGTTTAGGGTTAGTTTTTTTCTGTGTTTCTGTAAGGTAGTTGTCAGAGTCCCCAATTTTTCCTCCTATGGCTGTATTCGATGACGAGTGGTGCTCCAGCTGTATCTCACTCCGATTTTGTGATTATTCTTGACTTTTCCCCCTCCAAAACCTTTCCTGCCTGGCCATCATCGCGTTACCGCAAACCACCATAAACAGTCCTCCAACCATTTTTCTGTAGTCCTTCCACCCGCTTCCACCCAGCTTCTGTCCTTTCCCTATGCCATCCCCTCCAACTCCACTTCTACTGCAGCCACCCGCATCTCCCTCTTCCCCCTCCTACAACCATCCACAATCACACACAATCCTCCCTATTTACTGCCGTTAGATCATCCAGCCTTCCTACAAGCTGCCGCTGACGACTATCCTCCATGCTCTACCTCTCTTTGCTACAGCCGCACCCCCTCCTACTACAACTGCCCATTAGCCAGCACCCTACCAGCCTACCAACGCATATCCCAGCTCTTCTATTCTCAGTCTTCCGGCTATCCTACTCTGCCCTAGCAGTATATTAGTTTTTGTTGCGTTTTCTTGCTTGTTTCGAGTCTTGATTGTAACCTCGTTGCTCTTTGCTTAATAAAATCTGTTTTCCTATTGAATTTTTGGTTAACTAAGGTAGCATCAACTTTCTTAAAATGCAGTCATGTTATCAATATGAGAAATAGCCCAAACTAAACATAAGTTGAAACCATGTCAAATCATATGGACTGACCTAATGCTTAGAATATTACACTCTTCGCTTGGCCATCATTTGCATGTTGTTGATTACAAAAGTAACAAATAATTTAAAATGATCCAAATAATGAAAAAAAAAAAAATTGAACTATTCTTAGATCATTTCTTAATATGATGCTTTCAGTGGGAATAATCCACCATGTATTTTCTTTTCTAGTCTCACGTTAGGTTGCTAAATATGACTTTTCTTATAAGTGTTATTTATAATTTAAAATAACATTTGCATGTTGTTGATTACAAAAGTAACAAATAATTTAAAATGATCCAAATAATGAAAGAAAAAAAAAATTGAACTATTCTTAGATCATTTCTTAATATGATGCTTTCAGTGGGAATAATCCACCATGTATTTTCTTTTCTAGTCTCACGTTAGGTTGCTAAATATAACTTTTCTTATAAGTGTTATTTAAATAATACTCATAGAATGTGGCTGGATTAGAGGATGTACAAGGATCTCCCTCTTTTGTGTGATACTTTTAACTTTGTTCTTTATCACTTATTTTTATTTTTTCTCCATGAACGTTGTTCTATCAATCTTAGGAACATGGCAAAAGTTGATGTCTAGTAACCTGTGAACTTTTTTCAGAGTGTACAATTTTTTTTTTCCTTATCAAACACCTCACATTCTACCTTTATCAGAAGAATTGAGGGGTAGATATTTAGATTTTGTCCTTAATCGCAAACATTCAACAAGTTCAAGCAATGCAAGAACTTGTTGATAGTATCTGACTTGGTCAACATATCTGCTGCATTTTCATCATATGATTCAACAGAGTGAACTCCACATACAACTGTACTCCCCAACAGTTTATAGATATTAACTGCAGTGATCTTTTCTTTCATCACAGTCAGTGCATCTTTAACAATTCTGATGGTTTCCCTATCATCATCTTCCTTAGGAATAAAAACCATTTATGTGTAAAGTGTCCAAGGGAATTAAATTCTTCTTCAAATCTGGAATATGACTTACATCACATGATGTTCTGACAGTTTCATTATACATCTTAATTCTTACTTTGCCAATACCAACAATATTGTAACATTTATCATCACCCAAATAGAATGAACCAAAATCAGATAACCTGTATGAAGTAAATCATTCTCTGTTTGGTGTTATGTGATAAGAGCATTTTGAATAAATACTCTATGCATCCTTCAACTGAGTTGTTGTAACTGAAAGTGCATCACCATTACTGTAATATGTAATGTCACTCTGCACCGTATTCATGAACTTGGAAGATTCATTATGTTTCTTATCAAACTGCTTCTTGAACTTTGGACAATCTCTCTTCATATGTCCCGTCTCCTTGCACTTATAGCAATGAATCGTTTTTTTGCTTTTAGGCTTTTACCTGAAATTTCGCATTCCAGAACTCTCCTTCTCCTCCTTCCTTCCATGATCCTGATTATCCTTAGCATATAAACAATAACCATGAGATCTTTCCCCTGCATTCTGGTTCCGCTATTTGTGAGTCAACAATGCTGTAATAATCTCATCAATTTTGATTATTTCTTTCCCATATGTAAGAGTAGTCACCAGATGTTCATAGGATGAAGACAATGAACATAACAAAATCATTGCTCGGTCTTCATCCTCAATACTCACATCAAGATGTACTAGATTTGTGATTATTTGATTGAAAGCATTCAAATGCTGCGCCGGATCAGTGTCTGCCTACATCTTCAACCCATACAGTCTTTGCTTCAGTTACAGTTTATTTGTTAGAGATTTGAACGTAAAATAAGATTCTAGTTTCTTCCATACTTCTCCTGGAGATTTCAGATTCATAATATGATACATAATCTCATCTGCCAGACATAAACGTATGGTACCTGCCGCTTATAATTGCAATTGTTCCCTATCTTCATCTTCTATATTATCAGGTTTCCTAGCCCACAAAACCTTCAAAATTTCTTGTTGTGCCAACAAATCTTTCACCTATATTTTCGACAATCCGAAGTTTCCGGTTCCAATCGAACTTCACAATCTCAAATTTTGCATCAGACATTGCTATTTGAAAATAATCTTGCATCGAACTTTTCCTATCTTGCGTCGAAACAAAAACACACCGCAAATAAATTGAAAAAAACCTGAAATTTTCTCTGTCAATTGCAAAAATTTTTCCTGTTTGCACAAAAAAAAAATTCGGCTGAACTACTGCGAACACCTTGCTTGAAGCCCTTTCCTGTTCACGTGAACGCCTCAGCCGAACTCCACCTATCGCAACTCATCCTGCGACAAATTTGTGAACTCCACTGTCCGAACTCCTCTATTCACAAAAAGACACTCCTGTTCACGATAACTACACGCGAACTCCTGTTCGCAAACCCTCAGTTGAGCGAATCCGCTTGCTGGAGTCGCGCAAAGCCTCCTGTCGCACACTCCCTAGCTTTCGCGCGAAAATGTCTGTCATCGGGAGTAGAGCAGCGAATTTCACTAGTTTAGAGGAGTCAAGTACATACCCATAGGGTTACAAATCATATATATAGATAAAACCTACAGATAAAATTATTAACACGCCCCCCAATCCACTTATCTTCAAGAGACACACCACTTCACTCCAAGAGACACATCTCTTCATTCCAAGAGACTCCAAATTCTGGTATGTGAGCCATACCAAACATTTACTACCAACACTCAGGCCACACTATTTAGTTTATATAATTGTAATTTTATAAAGTTTACTATTAAGCATGGTTTAAAATTGTGTAATTGTGTACTGAGATATTTTTTGTTTGTGAAACGAGGCGTAATCCTCGATCTAACATAAAATAAGTAAATTAATAAATTTTGTATAAAATATAAGTGTGAAGCAAGAAATAATATATTAATATTCTAACTTATGAACTCAGTAAAAACAATATAATGATATTCTAAGTAAAAAGTGATAAATTGCATAAAATTAAAAGTAACATGTTAATATTATAACATCAAATTATGGAATAAGATGTGCTATACAAACATTAAACTATCAAAGTAAATTAAAATATTAAAATAAAATACTAAAACATCAAAGCATAGCAATCAAAATAAGCTTAACATTAATTCTTTTTTTCCCACTCATATTATCCTCTAATTGAACAGAATGTAACAAGTCATCAATATTTGAAATTTTAAATTTAAATGTCCTTTTTCTTCTCATCACACAATTAATTTTTTTTAGAATCATTGACAATGAATTGTTTATCTCACCTCACATCCTTAGTCGTATCTATATTCTCTAACTTCTTATTATCGTGAATCCTATTTATCTTTTACTTTTTAATGGATAATCGTCAATAAAAAATATTAATTAAAATAATAGTTATATTCATAGTTAGAACTTTCACTATAAAATTTCTTATGGATACATTTTTCGTTTATTTCTTGTTATTTGATGTGTGAGGTGTGAAGGTTAATACATAGTAGATGAGGCATATTGATATTATTTCTAGTTTTGTTAAAAAAATTGCAGACAACCTAAAAAAATTGAGAAGTAACTTTAGATGAGGCGCTTCTCAACCTAGTGAGACGTACGTTTCATCCTAAGGCAATGAGGTGCAAGCCTCATTGCAATTTCTTATAAAAAGTGCTAAAGCAGGCCTCAAGTCCCGTCTCATAGTGCAGAATTTAAAATTTCTCATTGGTATTCTCTTAGAACATAATACTTTTAAAATACTTCATTGCAATCACTTAGCCTAAACTTTTGAGTTATATCCTAACCTATATCATCGTTCTTCTATGCTATAGATCTGCAATACTTAAAAGCGCACCACATCTTGATATTACTTCACCATGCATTTCATATTCTCAAATATTATGCACTTTATTCTATAAACGCTTACTCAATTATTGTAACTTTTCCCTAAAATTTGATTCATTTGTCTATCTATGCTATACTGGAAATATCATACTATAGTATATGACTGTTAATTATAGTTCCATTAGGATTCTATGGTTTACTTTCATCGAAGCAATTGATTAGGACAAAGTTCAAAGTTTGGGTTTGCCATCTGCATTTAAAAATTGTATTCCTTATTTTGTTTCGACTCTGAATTAGTGATTGAACTTTTTCTTAGATTATGTTTGTTTGTTTTTGCTGCTGGATATTGATGCAAATTCCGTGTTTATGTTTTTGTGCAGTGCCTCTACAATGAGTGGAGAGGCATATTTGGATGGAGTATTGATCTCCATGCTCTCTTTGCAAAATCTTGGAGAGAACAGCGGTCAAGCACCCTGAGATCGGTAAGCCAAAAGCACTACTGCTCTTTCCAATCTTGCTTTTACATATTTCCTTCTGCAAAAAAATGGCGAACTCTTATCATATTTTCTCTTAGGTTCCATTTATTCTTGTTGAAGGTGGCCAATGGCCTAATTCTGGGTATGTTCATATTAACTTGGATGGTTCAAGCCATTCACTTCCTCTTACAACAGTTTATCATCAATTACGGCCTATTCAGCCTACGCCTTATACCTTCTTCCAGGCCATCTTCGGGAATGGTTATCCAGTATGTTATTCCTCTGTGTTCCCCAGCATAACGTGGTATTTTCATTGTAAGGATTAATTTTAGTTGTGGACTGTTTTTAAAATTTTTTTGAGGTTTTAAGGTTGCATTATTGGATGAAGAAAAGATTCTTGCGATTGGCAAAGACATGACTGCAATTGGCAAGTGCAGATCACAAAATGGAGCTCTTGAGTTGAAATCCTGTTCAGATCTTCCATACTTCTTGTACGGCTCCGGTCAGAAAGGTTTCCTTGGTGATTTGCTTGTAACTCAAGATTAAAATCATAAATGTACTTGGTTCTGCTTTGTAGGTCTGATATGACAAAAGATGAAATTGAAGCACATCTAGCTGCAAATAGCAGGATTCTGTTTTGGAGTGGTGTTATACTTGGGGCATTTTCCATTGGTGTGCTGGGTTTTACCATTTTTAGGTAAATCTTTTCACTAGTCATATTTTGTATTTTGATTCAGCTTATTGATTCCTTGAATGATTCAAGTAAGGCTAATGATGATGATTCGGTCTACTGATTCATAATTTAAAAATCTAGTTTTTTAGTTATGACTGTTTGTTGTTCCAAATATTTTACTTCATAAAAAATGTGAAGAGGGTCATATCATATTATTTAATAGTAGAGCTGATAGCTCAAGGACTTCCACCCCAGTGCCAGTGGAAGTTGCTATAGTCCAAGCTGAAAATGGCATTACGAGTTTATTGCTTTTTTGGTGTCTTGGAAAAATGCAACATCAATTACCTATTTTATATAACAGAGTTGTTTAAAGGGGGATCATGCTGAACTTAACAGTATTTGGCTTCTTAGATGATATATAACTTGCTGTACTAACTATTGGAATTTGGAACAGTGGTCTGAATCCTCTATGTAGGAGACATTTTTCTTTTTACTGTTTTAATTGGTTTCTTGCTCAGGTGACAGGGGTCTAATCCTAGCTATGGAGTGTGGACACAGACAGGGGGAGAAGAATATGACACGAAATAGATACGATGTTATGCCGTAATTGCAAAAAATAGGACACAACATGCCATAGATATATTTTCATAAAGTTTTTGATATAAATTTATAATTTTCTGCAATTCTCTAGTAAAGACATCATAGGGTGAAATATTACATCATAAAAGAAATTTCATGAAGATAAAAATAACTAAACATGATTAATAAAAAAAACATTATCACACAAGCATTTATCCTTGTCTTTGCTGTTTCTTTTAGCGCTGGAGCCCAAATTTGTAATAAAAAAACCCTGATATAAACTGGTTAAATAATTGCCCTTATTTACAAAATTTTAAACCTATCATCCTTTTGTTTGCAAAAATTTCCAATTATAGGGAGTTTTCTACAAATTTCTCTTTGTTGGATTGCAAAACATCAAGCTTTTTTTTTATTATTCCTACAATGCATATACTGGCACTGGGCCTCTTTTAGGATGGATAAAGTGAAAGAAGAAAGAAGGGTTACATATGCATGCGCCGGCTTTGGATTATACATTGTTTGAAGTCTGCTGCTCGTCCAATACATGTTTGAAAGCTGATATTCTTGCAATCACTTTTTAATGCAGCATATATAATAATATCTCTGTTTTTTGCCTCTTTATCATGCTCCTTTATGTTGTTGACTCATTTTTACTGTCGTATTGACTTCTTAATGATAACAAGGTAGAAAAATTATGTCAGGAGCTAGTGATCCATTTTTGAAACTAAAGTGCAAGTCAAGTGAACAAAATAAAACATTTGAGGATCCAATATATATTATATTTAGATTCTAGTAGTTGCAAATCATCTGTTTTGTCAGACAATGAAACCAAATCCATTATTTGTTACATGATCAAATTACGTGGTCATAAAATTTATTCTTTTGGATTAAATGGCTTTCATATTTGCCTTGCACTGCTGACCCACTTTTGTTTCAGGAGATCCTGATTTAATTTTCTCCTAAAAAAAGCCACGCAATTGGAATATATCTGATATCCATTGCGAGCCGACCTGTTTACCTAATCACTTCTTTTTATAAGCTTAGTCTGAAATTTTCCTTACTCTAAGATAATGATATATCACAGAAACTGGAGAAGATGGAAAGAATGGAGACAGAGAAGTCAAAGCCGAGATCGGCATAGGGTGACTGGTGTTGAGAGCACCACTCCTGATGAATCAGGAAATGTATCAGATGAAGGTGATGTCCCAGAAGGGCAACTATGTGTAGTTTGTTTAATGAGACGGAAGAGATCTGCCTTTGTCCCCTGTGGGCATCTTGTTTGCTGTGTCCAGTGTGCCATATTTGTGCAGCACAATGTCTCACCTAAATGCCCTGTATGTAGGCAAGCCATCTATTCTTCCATCAGGATATATGATTCATGAGGATTTCAAACTGCTTAATTATTCTTGCCACAAAAGGTTTGTTTCTATCTTAAAATCAACAAAAGAGGGTGTTGAATTTCAACTTTTATTATTATTTTATTGATCCTTAAAATTTTCCTGTTAGCTACTTTTTTATCAAACCATGAAATTAAGTCTGAGTATCTCTTCTCATGTTTTTTTTTTATTTTCACATTATTCAAATCTGAGTGTTCTGTAATTTTTAGTTAATTTTTTTTCTCTAATATAACCATCGTCAGTCATCATTTTTTCTTTTCTTCCTATTCCCCTCTTCCCAGTGATAACCCCATATGTGGATATTGTAACTAGCACAGCATTAACACCGATGTTATAAACGTCCTTCGCATAATTTAAACAAGTATTTGTTGAACGAGAAAATTGAGAAAATATTTTGCAAGATTAAGGCCTAGACTAGTGCATAGGTAATTTTAGTGGGAATTATTTGATTAGTCTATATTCTTGTAAGATTAGGTAAACTTCAATGTGATAATTTTAAGTATTTTCGTTCTTCTATTTGGAAGAATAATTATGTTTATGAGGATATAATTTTTAGAATTAAGATAGATTGGTTAAACAGAGGAAATGATTTAGGGATACTCGGGATAAGGGAAAACCAAGGTTCTTAAGGTAAAATTTACACGAAAAGAAATTTCTGTCGCACTATATGATTAAGTGTTGGTCAATGATCAAAAAAATTGCCTGCCTAGTTAATGTGGTATAGACGAATGTTAAAATGAGCATGCAAGGACGACAATATTAAAATGAATGTGTGATAACTAGGAATGATAGGTTGAGATATGACTCTTCTATAGAGATGCTTGGAGTAGATAACATTGAACATAATATTGTGGAAAATAGAGTTTGGTAGATTGGGCATATAGAATGAAAGGTAGAAGATGCAATAATACGATAAGTAGAAAAAAATTAATGTTGTAGGATTGCAAGAATAATGGGTAGACCAAATGCTACATGTCTAAAAGTTGTGTTACTCTGCATAAAGTAAATTCAGCATTTCATGTATTAGCAGGCATGATTGTGGCATGAGTACGCATAAAACCATCGGAAATAATACAGATAAGGGTAATGATGATGATGAAAATAATCCCGTTATTATTAGAAGACGGGTAATAATGATGATGACAAATGTACACGCGATAATCAACAGGTAAAGCTAAGAGAAACGGTCGCAGTCGCCTTCTCAGATTGCTGTCTTGGGTTTCATAATTTGATTACCATCGTTTCTTACGCCTATTATGTCATTGCATCATGTTTATTTTGAAATGTATGCACTTTTGATACAGGTACAAGATAGGAGCTGCAATATTGTGTATATAAATCGTCTTGGAATTGTTTGGGAAGACCTTGTAATGACCTGGGCTATGCCAAATACCTAATTAGGGGTTGATGCATCCAATTTTTCTTGCTGCCCTACGTGGTTTGAACACCTAGGATAATTTTCAAATTCCTCTGAAACTCTTAGAAAGATGAGTTGTTGCATGTAAATCATTTTTCTATTTCTTTTTCTAACATATTGCTGATCTCTTTTACTGGTGTCAACAAAGGTTTTCTGATGCTACCGGGTTTATTCCATTTATCAGTGTACTGACCATTAATGTGATGCTTTGATTTGGTTGCTTTTTTTGGCTTTTTATTTACGTCTTGTTTTTTATTAATAGCTGAAAAAAATTAAACTGTAACTTAAATGTTTATATATGATGGTTGATTAGGAAACTTAAAGCTGTCTAATTGAAAAGACCTAATCATCAATTCTGCATAAATGCTTTTTAGTTGATTTAATTGAGTTGGGTTTTGATTCTTTGAACAATTATAACTAAAAAATTCTAAGGTTAGATATATCAAATGTGTGTATATTGGTGCATTTGATGGTTAAGGATGGTAATGACTAGCATACTTTGCCATGAAAGCTGTCATTTTACACTTTTTAAGCTATCTCTGTGTGCGCGTGCACGCGCTGGGGCGGGCGGGTGGCCGGGCGGATGTAAATTTTAGAATAATTGCATTCATCTCTATCCATGTTTTAAAAACAGATTTCTGAAGTAAATTTTAGAATAATGTAAATTTTAGAATAATTGCATTCATCTCTATCCATATTTTAGTAAAATCAGAAGCAAAACAGATTTCTGAAGTAAATTTTTGAATAAGTTTTTTGCCAGAAAAGCAGATGAAGTAGATAGAGGAGAGGCAAGTGCAAGAACATTATTGAAAAAATGCCTTCAGAATGTCACCACGCCCAACCACATTATTGCTTACCATTCCTCCTTTTTTTCTTAACTTTAATGATATTAAATATAGGCTTAATCTAATTAATGCTATTTTTCTCTGGAGAATGCAGGAGCTTAATGATTTGTTTGTAACTCTGAGGTAATTAGCTAAATCAACACATCCTTGCCAGATACTCTATCCACTACCCTTATGAATATCATTTGGAGCCATGATGCTTAGCTTCATTACATTCTACCCATAAAAACCACTTAATAATAATGATAGGGGTAAGAATTTTATGTGACATTTTGTAGCACAATTGAAAATATGAACTGATGAAAGTAATACCTCAGCTATTGGTGTATTTATTAAAAAAAATTGCTACTTAAAAGACATCTAATTTCATTACCAAGCTGTCATTGCGATAGTTCTGTTAAATAATTCTTGAGATAGTTTACGGTTCGTCCATAGCATCCCGTAGCTTAAGATGCCCATCCAGTACTCTCTAGAACATGTTCGAAGCATGAAGCTAGGGTTGGCGGTGGTTTAGCCTTATCCAGGAGAACCCGCCCTAAGAGGGGATCATTCAGGACACGAGACATACTCGATATCCATTCTGGTGTTTAGAAGTCACCACACGTTCGTTCGGAGACGTCTGTGACCAAGAGCAGTCATGGAGTCCCCCTATGCACGTTGTGGAAAAGTTAGGGTTTGGGATGCCCTTCCTGCGCCGCGACTTATAGGGTGATTGTTGGTGGTGATTTCCCTGGTGAATGACCAAACAAAATACTCAATTTTGAAGTTATGAAATTACATTTTACTCATATGGAGTCTCTCGTAGCTTACCGATCAAGAAAATCCTCCATCGAGAGCTCCCAATATAAATCAGGGTTTCGGGCTAGACTCGACCCTGGGCTTCTAAGCACCCAAAATGCTTTTCAGAACATTTAAAACTGAGCCCCTAGAAGTTTGTCACACTTTCCGGTGTTTAGGCGCCAGTTTCCGACACTTAGGCGTCAGTTTCCGATGCCTAGGCGCCCAAAACAACTAAAAACAGTCATTTTCCCGGCCTCAGTAAAGTAGGCGACACTTGAGTGGCACTTAGGCGCTATACCTAGTGCCATGGTGCCAGACTGGGCGCTTAAGTGCCAGGGTCACGGCGCCTAGCCACCGGGCCATTTCTAGGCAGCGATTTTTTT